GCCCAAATCCAAAAAATGCGTTATGTGCCATGCTAGCTTCCCGCTGCCTAGCCATCTCACCATGGAAGAGTCTCGTCTGTCTCCCCTAACAGATCAGGGTCTCGGTGGTCTAGCACCTACGGACTCGGTCAGACCAAAACAGAACGTGAACGCATCTCACGCCGACAATATGTGGCTGGATGCTTGCAAAGCCGTTGTGCTCTGCGAGCTTACAACTTTTGAAAAGTATCTTCGCTCGGTTGACGATTTAGATCGGCGGCTTACAAAACGCGTAATTTCTAATTTATTTTGTCGTTTATTTCCCTTATTTCATCGGTTTTGGTACAACTTTCTTGCCAAAATTAAAACCAACTTCCCTAAATATTTAGCTGTTCATTTATTGGCCGGTTAAACATGAACTATAACTATGAACTTTTGTTCGCAATATCCCTTCGTGAACGCAATCGAAGTCCATTATTTCCCAAAAGGCCGTCTTAGATTTGTGGAGAATAACACAAGAAGTCATATTTCTATTTATTCTTGTATTTGCTAGCTACATGATACATGCGTGTAAGGCGTGGGTAAAATCAATTCCATCGGTTTTGGATCATTTCTGTTTTCAAAGATCACGTTTTCCTCCAAGACATGAGCTTATGAGTCAAAAGACGGAGTTTTGACCGTTAGGCGATTGGATACGCATTAAAATCCCATGCCAAAATGTCAGCTCTAAGTAATCTATACTGATTGCTACTTGTTCTGCGGCCACCCTCGAAAATCTCTACTCCCGGAATTCCAAGGCGAGACAAAATTATCCGTATTCCGTACTGTACACAGAATAGACTGATGAGCGTCATTTCATGGTGAATTTGTAAATTCTCCAACGGTGTTTTTATCCCTCCTTTTTGAACTTATAGTTCAAAGGTAACATCTCAAAGTTGGATATTTTTTCTCCTAGGAGTGCCACATATTAGATCGATGGTTTGCCCAACAACTGCCAGCCGAACACCCTGCCCTGCCCTTATCGGAAGTCGTCGGTACTTCTTCACGAATAGGCACCATACCCCACAATGTC